TTTACTAATGCCAATAGAGCAGCATTTGTAGGGTCCTTTAGAAACAATGCTGGCAGTTATAAAAAGTTCTATGTTGTATGAGTAGCACTTGTTCATTCAGTTTACCAAGCACCAGTAAAAGAACATTTTGTTATAAAATACCGGCAAATGTGGCCAGCAGGAAGACTGTATTCTACAGTGGTCTGGGGCTTCCTCTGGGAGCCCCCATGGAGCTGAGCATGCTGGGAAAAGGATGAGGATCTCATCAGGGAGAGGTTGGAGGGAAACTATTTTCGGGCTGTTTTCACTCCATGCTGGGCATGGTTGGGGGGAAAGGAGGTGAAAGAGGACCTCTGTTTTAAGGGTTAGCAAATAGTTGGAAAAATTAATTTTCTGCAAGGTCAAGGAAGAGAAAGTTTATTTGTGAGCAACAAAACAAGGATGGGAAGTGTAACTGGGTCTTAACTGGAGACCTGGTCAATGGGAGAGCTGGGTACTAAAACTTCAAAACTGAGGCTAGCCCAGAGAGGTTTGTGAAGTGACCATCTTTTTTAAAATCAGGCATCAGAAGCAGAAAGGACACATGACATACTTCTGAGAGATGCTGCATTCATTTAGCCAGAAGTGCTGATTCATGGCTTCAAGGTGGTAGGTTGGCAGGATAAAGGCATTGTGGGGCAGGCAGGGCCATTCCCTACCAAGCCAGGGGACCAAGACAATGGCTGAGAAGTCAGGTATTTGTCTGGGGGGTAAGGTCACCTCTTTGGGGATGGATGTTGGAGGGTCGTGGTAGTGGCTCTTTCTTTGGCTTGGGTCATAGTAGCCCTTAGACAATGACAAAAGAAGAGCAATGGGAAATTTCAAGGCTTTTACAAGTTCTTTTGAACTGTTATGGTAGGAGTAGAGGCAGAGAAGTTTAGGAGAAATTTTCCCCCACCACCTCTACCATCTTGACTCAGAGAGATTAGAAAGCAAATGGGGCTTCCACAGAGATTTGAAGCATTTTTTTTTTTTTGTTCTAACTTTAGGGGAAGCTTCAAAGAGCCCCTCTATTAATAGCTGGACTACATTTGGTGAACTGAAGACAATGACAATGAAGAAAATGTCTAGAAATTGCAGCCTCCAGGGTCCCCTGGCCCTTCTTCTTCCTCAAAGTGGTCACAGGAACATACATTGTGACATGTTGGTGGTGTGATTGGAAGTTCCTTAAAATCACAAAAAGCACAAATCAGCAGTCATGTGCTTGATGAAGTTGATAAAGAATTGTATTATGTGAGTGTGTAAGTAGGTGGTCAAGGTCCTAGAATGTGCATCCTGTACAACATTATTTGTGTTAGAAAATTGCTAGAAAAATTCAAAGGTCCTTCACCAAAGGAGAGGTTAAATAAATTACGATACATTCATGCAATGGAACATTATGCAGTTCTTAGACCTTTGTATCAGAGTTTGGTCAGGGCATCAGAAGAGTCTCTGTGTATTCTGCAACTGACTTAGGATGGGCACACAGTCTTGATCAGAGCCAGTGAGAGGCTGTGAGGATTTTGCTGGGAATCCTGGGAAGGAGACCCTTTTTCTTCACTAACTTGTTAAGAGCTGTAGGGTCTGGAGCTGTTGTAGGAATATTCTCAGTGGGCAAAGGGAGCCTGGAAAGAAGCCTAACTGGTATTGAGAACTTAGCAAGGCTAGTTTCAGTGGAATAAGCAGTGAGACAAATTGAAATGGATTGAAGAGTGAGGTGAGAATGGGTGGGGGAGGAGAGTGGCCAAATGAAACAATGTTCAGAGAAGTGTGGCTTTTCAGGAAAGAGAGCTGGGGTATTTGTTTTGGAAGACAAGGTCAAGAGCATTTTTCATTTGTTTTCTCCCAGCAGAGATGTGCTACAGTATGTGTGATGTTTACACGGGACTCAGTGAAGGGCAGGAGGGGAGTGGACAACTGGAGGTGTCCCATAGCATGCGTGGAGGGTTGTCTTCAGAGTACAGAAGACAATGACCAGTGTCCGTCTGAGGCTTCTGATTTCTCACTAGAGGATGAAGAGGGTCATTTCTTGAGAGAAGGGAGTATAGACAGTTTAAAAAAGGTAAGGAAAAGCTTAGGTGGGGGCGCCTGGTTCAGGGGACCAGGAGACTCTTGACCACAGGGTGGAGAGCTGGAGTCCCATGTTGGGTGTAGAGATGAAAGAAAGAAGGAAGGGAGTAGGGGAAAGAAGGAAGGAAGGAAGGAAGGAAGGAAGGAAGGAAGGAAGGAAGGAAGGAAGGAAGGAAGGAAGGAAGGAAGAAATGGAGAAAGGGAGAAAGGCTTAGGTGGGAGCAGGTGCCGAGCCCCCTGGAGGAACTCTGTGGCTTTCTGGGCAGTGTTACTGAGATGTTTAAGGTCATGACTTTACAGTGTTGCTTTCTATATCAGCTACACTGCTCGGTGAGTGTGCTGGTCACAGAAGCCAGCCTTCCGGTTGGCAGGCAAGCCTCTAGAGGAAGGCATACAGAGGAATTGCAGTTATGTATCTTCAAGAGTGATTGGATTGATGTGCTGTGGAGTCTAAGCTAGAAGAAGAAACAGGTGAGGCCAGAAGTGCCTCAGTGACTTGTGGATAGATCCCCCTCCCCCCCATAGAGTTTCATTTTCCTTTCCCTTTTGCCCATTTTGGTCTCAGGTTTGGCTTGTGAGAAGCTGCTTGGCCAGTGAGAAAGCTGGAGCCGTTTCTTAGAACTACGTCTCCCTACTTCTGTCCCCACAGCTGAGCTACCCTGGGGGGTAATTTCCACTAATGTTTCTTTTTTAGTTTGTGTTTTGATGAGATTCATCTCTCTGGTCAATGAAAGGCTTGTACATTCAGCCATCAAACATTATGAAAACCTATCTACAGGATAGATGGCGTCTTCAGAGCACTTGGAAATCCAATCTCTCTAGGTCTAATTTTGATGGAAAAAAACCACTAAACCTGAAGCACTGTCCATAAAATAGGGGATCCAGGGAGCTCACTGGAAGGGATTGAGGAAAGATTGCTGATCTAGCCCCGAGTCCTCACGGCTCTTATTGCTGTATATAGTCAATGACAAGAAATTCACTACCTTTGAAATAGAAGTAGGTTATGTCTTCTGTTTTCAGGACCCACATGGTGGGGAGGATGGGGGAGGGGAGGGGATAGATAAATCAGTAAGACATTTCAAAGATCAATTTAACACAGTCTATTAAAATAAAAGTATTTATACTTTCAACCCAGCATTTTCACTTCTTACAAAACACTTGCATAATGGAGCAAAGCTATATGTTCTAGAATGTCCTATTGAAGCATTGTTGGCAATGAATAGAGGCATAGTTAAATTAATTAAGGAATGGACACACAATGGAATACTATCTTTAAAAATAACAAAGTAAGCCTATGCATGCTGATTTGGAAGGTTCTTGGTCTAAATACTTGGTCAAATACTTGGTTAGGCGACAGGATGAAAAAATAGTATGATAGCACTGATAATAACTATTAGAATGTGCATAAAGTATGAAAATGAGAGAAACATACACAATAGTGTTAAAAACAATGCTATAGGGTGGGTGGAGAATAATTTTCCTCTTATGAATGTCTATGTGGTTTGAGTTCCCTATTGTCAACAAACATTATTTTTGCTCACTAATGGAATTATCAAGCATAATTTCTCTGCTAAGGATGTTACATTCATTACTGATCCATTAGGTGGTAGACATTACCTGTTCTACAGATAAGAGGATTGAAAAAGTTAACCTGCCAAAGTTCATCCAGTTAGTAAAGATTCCTTATCTAAAGAGATAAAGCAGCTTTTCAAACTCTATATAATAAAGTAAATGTAATCTTCCTGGACTCAGCTTACCTCTATTTAAAAGCTCACTTCTGACTGTTTTGGCTATTTCTCCTTCCCATTATGATTTCACTTCCATCTCAAAACTATTAAAATTCATTTCCTCTGGGAAATTACCACAGGCTGATGATGGCTCCTTATGATTCATTCTCTTTACTCTAGCATTCTGATGTCCTCATTGCATGCCTTTGTATACATGCTACCACCTGAATTTACATAAATGACTTGATTATGGTCTTCATCTTGATGATGAACTCCTTGAGAGACTTGACACTTTGTTTGGAACTATCCATAATTCTCCAGGATCATTTCCAAACCTGCTCAGTAGGCCTTAGGATTGAATCCTCTGTGTTGCATTTGCATTTGGTAGGTCCTTAATATCAGAGAACAACAATTCCAATAAATCAGGCAATCTTCTTCTTATACAAGACTGTGTTTTCTCTACTGAATTATGTAAATATCCCTGAGTTGAATAGCTTCTGGATTAAATAATTTCAGTAATGTCTTCACTCGACCTTTTTTTTTTTTTCCTGGTGGAAAGGAGATGTGAGTCATGCAGTCACTAAAAGCTTTCCAAATAGAAAAAGCTTGACAATCACTATGTCAAAAGAAACATTAATGGCAGAGAATCTCTCTATTCCTCTGCTTCACCATGGAAGGGATTGAATACTGTTTACATTATAAATGACAAGGAAACGACGAGACTTTCAGCTGGTTGATGACATGTTGAAAACAAGAGCTTCAGAGTAACTGGTTAACATGTAGAATCTAGATTATCTTCCTTGTCTGGTATAAGTAGAAAGACAAACTAGTGTATCAAATATAATTTTCATTTTGCTCCACAAATATTTGACTGTGTACCCTAAACATTTTATCAGGATGGCAGCAAAAATTACATTGTCTACATCCACAGTTTTCCTTTCTGTGCTTCAATATTTGAAGACAAGTTTCACCAAGGTGGCATATTTAATCAAAAAGACTTGGATACAATTTGACAAACCAGTTGATTCATAGTGATTACTTCACAAATCTAAAAGCTACTTGATAACTTACAATTTAGGGTGGAAAAGAAGGCATTCCTTTTTTTTTTTTCTAAATAAAATCTTTTTTAAAAAATTAAATCTTTATACATGTATAACTTATTTCAAGTATGTGGAGAAGTATAGAAAATAACAATGAATAACTATGTACTCATTATCCACTTTATTAAATATTACCAGTTATATTAAGTTTAGGTTAAATGTCACAAAGATAAAGCACCCTTATGTGTCTCCAAAATCTCATGCCTTTTATTTCCACCCTAATCAAACTCTATTCTGAATTTGGTTCTTATAATTCTCATGCTGTTATTCCTTTACTATGTTTATATATTCACAAATAATATGTAATACTATTTTGCATTTTGTACTTTAAATGGTATACAATACATATTTTGTACCTGTGCTTTTTTGGTTGTTTATACATGTAATTCAAATTGTACAGATATATCCTATTTTATCAAGTATCTGTTACCCTGTGAAGGAACTGGTGGTTTTCAATGGTTTCCTACTACAAACAATACTGTGTATAGATTTGCACACGTTTTCCCACATACAGTTGCTTCTCATATATTCAGGACCATACAATCAATCATCTGGCAGATCTTGTTAACTGGCAGACTCTGGTTCAATAGATTTGGGATGGGGCCTGAGATTCTGCATTTGTATTAAGTTCACAGGTGCTGCAGGTCCCAGGACCACACTTTGAGGAGCAATGGTCTTATAGAGGAGTGGAAGTACTAGGTTGTAAGATGTGTGCATCAACATTACTAGATATTGCCAAGTTGCTCTCTCACATGCTTGTACCAACACACACCTGTATCAACAACAGCTCATAGAGTCTATACAGTATTATATCTTCTTCAACACCTCTTATCATCAGGCATTAATTTCTGCCAATTTGATGGGCATGAAGTGGTATCTTGTATTAATTTGTCTTTCATGAGTATTTTTGAAGTTGGACCACTTACGTTTCTTTTTATGTAATAATTCTCAACATAAACTAATATGTGGATCAAAGAAAGTATCTTCCTCCATCTGTTTCATACTTTATTGACATTTTTAAAAAGATTATTTATTCATGAGAGACACAGAGAGAGGCAGAAACATAGGCAGGGGGAGAAGCAGGCTCTTCGGAGGGAGCCCCATGTGGGCCTCGATCCTATACCCCAGGATCATGCCCTGAGCCGAAGGCAGATGCTTAACTGTTGAGCTACCCACGCATCCTTGATTCATACTTTAAAGCATCCTTCTTAAAAGATCCCCTCACATTTTTAAAACCTTCAATTTTTCTTTTTTTTAAAGTACTGGAAGGAAAAGTGGAAAGGAAAAACTGAAAGATGAAAGAAGGGGGCTGGAAAGGAGTAAGGAGAAATGCCTACCATCACTCCAACTGGAAGATCTTTTTCTTACACTATTCCTTGGTTGAGGGTAAGAGAAACAGAATTGGAAGCTTATGGAGGGAGTAAGGGGTAAGAAGTTTGTACTTTCTGAGTACTTCATTTATCTTGAATTTTAGGGGAATGAATTTAACTGCAGCAACTAATCCTGCTAAAATTAAGCCTTTGCCATATAAAAATGCTAAGCTCCATCCTACAAATTACAAGTCTATAAGAAAAATAAGAGATAACATGTATTGCCAAGGTAATACAGGTATATTGTAGAAAAAAGCAAAAGGAAAAAAAAATCCCATAATCTAATCTAATATAGCATGGTAGTTTAAAAACATCCACTTGTAAGTCCTGTGTTTGAATTCCAATTTAATCATTTGCTAGTTGAGTGACCTTGGATAGGTCATTTTCTTACTTAGAAAATGAGGATCATGATAATTGTACCCAGATCATAGGGTTATGAAGGTTAAATTAGCTAACAGATGTAAAGTACTTAAGATATTGTCTGAGACATTATAAAGTGTCATAAAAACTAGAGCTATTGATGATGAAATAGGAAGTCCTCCACCCTCCTTCACCTATGGAGATAGATTTAACAGCAACGAATGGACCAACTGTCTAAAAAATCTAGAACCCAGTGAAGAGATCCTATACTCCAGGTGAGTGCAAAGCCAACCACATTAAAGCCTGGTAGGAAAGTTCATGGCACCAGAGTCTGCAGTACCAGAAGTAGATACTAGGTGGAGCTCCAGTACCATGGCGTACTAGAGCACCAGTGAGGCCACAGTAGCGCAGGCAAATATTGGTGGGGAGTACTGAGTAGAAATAAGCAAACCTCTTCAATTAGGTTAGCCCAAAAAGGACACACCCCCAGAAAAGGCTTGAGGAATCTCCAAAATCTCTAGCAGCGCTGAACTGAGACTGTCATTACTGTACAAAACCAGACTGTAATGTTGGGGAGGAATGGCTGATTTTTCAAATGCCAAAATCCCAACAATAGATAACAAAACATACAAAGAAACAAGGAAATGTGGCTCATTTAAAGGAAAAATTAAATTTCCTGAAACTTACCCTAAATAAATGGAGACTTATGAGTTGCCAAAGAATTTGAAATAGCCATCATAAATGCTCAATGAATTCAAAGGGAGCACAGACAGACAACTAAATAAAATCAGGAAAATAATGCATAAACAAATTGAGAATATCAATGATACAACAGAATTATGAAGAAGAACCCAACAGAAATTCAGAAATTTCTGAACCCAACAGAAAACAATAATAACTGCACTGAAAAATTCACTATTCAACATCACACTTGACAAGGCAGAAGAAAGGATCAGTGAACTCAAAGATAGGACTTCCAAAATCACTTAGGCAGAGGAGCAAAGTGGAAAAAGACTGAAGAAGGGCAGCCCCGGTGGCGCAGCGGTTTAGCGCCGCCTGCAGCCCAGGGCGTGATCCTGGAGACCCTGGATCGAGTCCCATGTCAGGCTCTCTGTATGATGCCTGCTTCTCCCTCTGCCTGTGTCTCTGCCTCTGTCTCTCTCTCTCTCTCTGTCTCTATGAATAAATAAATAAAATCTTTAAAAAAAAAAAAGACTGAAGAAGAAAGAAGAGAACCTAAGTGTCTTATGGATCACCATAAAGCAGAACAACACATAAGTTATGGAAACCTCAGAAGAACAAAGAAAGGAGTACAAAGCCTAATTGAAGAATACTTAATGGCCACAAATCCCCTAAATTTGAGACTAGAAGTGGACATACAAATTCATGAAATTAAAAAACTCCAAGACAAACCTAAAGAGAACTACACCAGGGCACATCATAATCAAACTGTCAAAAATCACAGAGAATCTTGAAAGCTACCGTAAAATATCTTAGACTGGGTGGCTTAAACAGATATTTATTTCTCACAGTTCTGGTGGAGACTGAAAGTCCAAGATCAGGGTGCCACCATGGTCAGGTGCTGGTAAGAACCCTCTTCCTGGCTTGAGATAGTTGCCTTCTTGCTGAAAAGTCTCAGTGGCCTTTTCTTGGTGCATATTCATGAAGATAGAGACTTCTCTCTCTCTCTTTTTGTTATATGAACATTAATCTCAACGTGAGGTTCTCACCCTCAAGACTTAATCTAAACTTAATTATTCCTCAAAGGCCCCACCTCCAAATACCATCACATTATGAATTAGGGCTTCAATATATGAGTTTTGGAACTTGAGGGGAGACATTAACATTCAGTTCATAACACCAACTCTTGATTTTGTTGGAATTTTTTCTATTGTTTTTCTATTGTCTACTCTAATCCTTATTATTTCTTTCCTTCTAAATTTGGATTTAGTTTGTCTTTTGAAAACATTGACAAAATTGACAATGCCCTAGTTAGACTAAGAAAAAGAGGTAGAAGACTCACATAATTAAAACTAGAATTGAAACAATGCATATTACAAAAATTAAGAGGATAATTCTATAATAACAAATTGGATAACCTAGAAGAATTGGATAAATTCTCAGAAATATGCAACCTATCAAGACTGAATCATAAAAAAATAAAAAATCTGAAGAAATTTATAACTGGTAAGGAGATTGAAGCAGTAGTCAAACACCTCCCAACCAAGACCAGATGACTTACTTAAGGATTCTACTAAGCAATTAAAGAAATTAACACCAATCCTCCTTACAATCTTCCAAAGAATTGAAGAGGGAACACTTCCAAACTTATTCTATGAATCCAGTATTATTTGACACCAAAACTAGATAAAGATCAAGAAAATAAAACTATAGGGAACCCTGGGTGGCGCAGTGGTTTGGGGCCTGCCTTTGGCCCAGGGCGCGATCCTGGAGACCCGGGATCGAGTCCCACGTTGGGCTCCCGGTACATGGAGCCTGCTTCTCCCTCTGCCTGTGTCTCTGCCTCTCTCTCTCTCTGTGTGACTATCATAAATTAAAAAAAAAAAAAAATTAAAAAAAATTAAAAAAAAAAGAAAAGAAAACTATAGAAAAGTATTCCTGAAGAGTAACAACGTAAAAATCCTCAACAAGATACTAGTAAACTCAAGTAAACCGCACACTACAAGGATTATACACCATGATCAAATGGGATTTAAGTTTGGAATGGAAGAATAGTTCAACAATAAACAAATCAATATAACACACCACATTAACAAATGTAGGACAAAAATCCATATGATTATCTCGGTTGATGCAGAAAAAGCATTTGGTAACATATAACACTCTGGTATGCACACATATTGCTGGTTTCTATTTGTAAACTTTTTTTTTTAGATTTTTAAAATTTATTTCATTCATGAGAGACACAGAGAGGCAGAGACATAGACAGAAGGAGAAGCAAACTCCCTGTAGGGAGCCCAATGTGGGACTCTATTCTGGAACTTGGTATCATGCCCTGAGCTGAAAGGCAGACACTCAACCACTGAGCCACCCATGTGTCTCATACTTTGTGAACTTGCTTTAGTTTCTCACACTTTTAAATAGCCCACACTTATTTGTGCTTTTTGACAACTACACTATTTGACCACCTTGATCTAAGTTCACCACATTGTGTGGGTGTTAGCACACAAGCACATAAAAATAGACTTGGCAATTACAACAAAACTCCCAAACTGCGTATTACTAGCCTAAATGCAGCTAGATAGGCTCCTATTTCCCAAACTTGCTTTATAGAATCTCATGAAACACTTGGTAAAAAACACATCCCCAGGCCTAGCCTAGTGGATTCTAAATAGGGAATTCAACAAATACCTCATGCGATGCTTATAATCAGGCAAATTTAGTCCTGATTCCTACAACTATGTCCTTAATCTACATCTTTGGAGCCTCCAGGACTACTGGGAAGTTCAATTGGGACTCATAGGGGACTGGTAAGCCTGGTAGCAAAGGGTTCACTCCATCGGGTAGGAAAATCCTGGGAGTCAACTCTAAGTTGGAATAAACATTGGAAAGCCTTTAGAGCTTGAGACCAAAGCAGGAACTTAATATCTTTTTACTCTTTTCTACACCAAGGATGGTTTCAAACACACATCCCTTGGGTACAGATTCTAACCCAAATTTTGGGTTTCCAGAAGTGTCCTACAGTTCTTTGAAACTGTATGACAGGGAGTCATACAGTTCTTTGAAAGAATATAGAATCTGGATCCTCTGAGGACCGAATTCTTTGTATAAATACGAAAATCATTTGGGGTACATATATTTTATTAGGTAAGGTTCTATTTTCACATAAAAAATTCAGCTCTATACCAGATCTGTATCATGTAACTATTCTGTAGTGTGAGCTATGTCATTATGGAGGCTTGAGAGAGAACAGAACTCTGACACATATGCCTCAACTCATGACAAGTCTTTGGCTTCTTGGATCAATTATATTTAAGATATACAAGATATTACTCTTTCAATCTGAGAGCATAGGGAGATCAAAACATATCTGAGATTTTTTTTTTTTATTCATAGATTTGCAGACAGAGAGAGGCAGAGACACAGGCAGAGGGAGAAGCAGGCTCCATGCAGAGAGCCCGACGTGGGACTCGATCCAGGGTCTCCAGATCACGCTCCGGGCTGCAGGCGGCGCTAAACCGCTGCGCCACCGGGGCTGCCCCATATCTGAGATTCTAAAAGAAACTCACCAGAGCTGGTGAATCCTGACCCCACCACATACACTATTTATTCACAAGAGACCACAATTCCATTCCTCTTACAATCTACTAACTTGATGGGATAGAATGAAGTATAAATAGAATTATACAAAAATTAGGCCCAGATAAAAATCCATCTAAAATTGGAAGAGGGCCCCCTGGGTGGCTCAGTCAGTTTAAGTGTCTGCCTTCGGCTTAGGTCATGATCCCAGGGTCCTGGGATTGAGCCCTAAGTCGGGCTCCTTGCTCAGTGGGGAGTCTGTTTCTCCCTTTCTATCTCTGACCCCTACTTGTGCTCTCTCTCAAATAAATAAATCTTAAAAAAATTGTTGAACAAAACTCAAATGGTGGCCCATCAGAGTCAAAATTGAAGGGAAACAAAATTGTGAGGGGAAAATGCCTTGTAGGTCTGAAAAATAAGAAGTTTTTACCCTTTAAAAACTGTTATCTCTCTAAGAGAGTTTTCTTTAACGTGAAGGACAGTCATGCTACTGATTTGTTAAGCTAAATACTTAAGCATTTCTCCCCTTAATGGCTTTAGAAATGATTTTTTTTTTTGTTAAAGATTTTTATTTATTTATTTCCTGAAAGAGAGAACACAAACAGGGGGAGCAGCAGGCAGATGGAGAGGGAAAAGCAGGCTCTCTGCTGAGTAAGAAGCTCAATGTAGGTCCTGGGATCATGATCTGAGCCTAAGGCAGATGATCAACTGACTGAGCCACCCAAACAACCCAAAATGATCTCCTTAAAAAAAAAAAAAAAAAATTTAGAGGCAAAACCTTTAAAAGGTAAGACAGTAAAGTGAGATAGAATGAAAATAGCACTTTATTCAGTGCACAATGACAGTTTTTTTCAGTTCCATTCATAATTAAAGTAAAAAAAAAAACTTGCTGAGTATTTCATATACTTGACTTAGAAAAAAAATATTGAATTTCAAATCCCCTAAAGTTATTATTCAAAGTTTATATCCCTTGTAAGTATATGTACGTATACATATATACGTATATATTTGAACCACTCAAAGCAATTTTATACAAACCACTCAAGACAATTTTAAGAGCTGTTCTTTTCTGTATTTAGAGTCGTCCTTTCAAATATTTAGAAGTTCCATAGGCGGTGGCTTTAAAGGAATTTTTCCCAGAGTAAATTTCTTGGATTGAAATTGATCTAGTTCTTCTGTTGTTAGTTGATCCTTCGGTGTGAATAATACATTATCTGTTATGGTGCTGCCATTTGAGGTTGGGAGAGAGGTGGATATGCTACTATTTCCAAAGGTGTCGTTGGATGACTTGGAAAAAGCAGTGTGAGAATGTGAGCCTAGATTACCAAAATTAGTCACAGAACTGCCACTTCCAAAGGCTGGGGCCCCTGGAGCTCCAACAGAGCCTGCTGCCATGGAAGTTGGAAATCCTGAAAATCCAGGTGACCCAAAACCAGATGCTGCAGGACTTTTAAAAGAAAACGAAGCAGCAGATGTGACTGAAGATTTCCCAAATCCAAATGTTGGAACAGAAGTAGTGATGGCAGAACTGGCAGAGGATGCAGCTCCAAATGCTGGAGTATTCCCAAATAAAGAAGGACTTCCAGAAGAGGCAGAGGAAAACCCAGAGCTTGGCTTAAAACTAAAATTCTGGGCACTAGTACTGCTGCTGTTATTTCCTGGAAAACCTACAAAAAAAAAAAAAAAAAAAAAAAAAAAGGAAAAGGAAAAAAATAAGCTACAATAGTCAGAAAATGTAGCCATATTAACCACCCCTCGGTTTTTTATTTCTGCCATGTTTAAATGTGAGAAGCTTACTGAATGGAAGGAAAAGTGAAAATAAGAAGCTAGGACAAACCTACTAAACTTGTTGTTCTTTCTGCCTACTGATATCATTTGATTATCCTCACTGGATGGAGATAGCTTTCAGAAACCTCTGGGATTAGGAGGTGGACTTTCACTTTCTGCCTCAATCCCAAATAAATCAGCTACGTCAATTATCAAAGAAGTTGACTCTTTCCTTAGTTATATTCTTTTAAGCAAATGTAGAGTAGTCACTTCATCTCAGTTTCCTCCTGTATGCACAAATAGAGTGATTCTCGAGGCCCTTCTAGCTTTCAACTAAGATGAATCTGATGAAATCCTACTCTAATAACTGACATCTTTAGTTTTTGGCTAAAATACTTCCTGAGTTGCCACTTTTATTTTCATACTTTTTATGACAGTACAAACTCCTCAGTCCTAATTTGCCTTTTTATTGGTCTCTGACAACCACTATTTACCCCTGTATCCTAACTTAAACAATTTTTCTTTTAAACTAAAAGGAAAAAAAAGTGACATAGTATTGTCACTTGAGACAAAACTATGCTGTTATACACAGTGAAAAGGAGGTCCTCAGTGGTGCTGCTACATAGTAGCTATGTAGCTACTATGTAGTCTTATAAACTTTTGAAAAACCATTTTCAAAATATACTTTGAAAGCCTGAGCCATGGGGTCTTTCAAAAATCATGCCGTCTGACCTCTATTTCACAGATGACTGATGAGCCAAATTCTTTGAAGCTACATTATGGAAGGTAGTAGAATCTGCAAGGATGAATTTAAAATGCCACTTAAGGAGAGGGAGGAAGATGGCAGAGGAGTAGGAGACCTAGTTTTGTCTGGTCTCAGGAATTCAGCGAGATAGCTATCAAATCATTCTGAACACCTGTAAACTCAACTGGAGAAAAGAACTGTTGCAATTCTACAAATAAAAAAGCGACCACTTTCTGCAAGGTAGGAGGTGTGGAGAAGTAAATCCAAGGCACTATATTGGAAGATAAACTGCAGGAGGAGGGAGCTTCTGTAAACCAGCCACCAGAAAGCCAGCTTTATCAATTTTGCAATATAGCTGGAGATCGCAAAATCGAAGCTTTTAGAAGTTCGCCATGGTGAAGGATGTCCCCGTCTGAAAGGCACTCAGGTGGCGAAGTGGGACAGAATCCTAAGTTGGGGTAGTGTGGTCAGGATCCCCAGGGTCACAGGAAGATACAGGCACAGGGGTGCCTGAGTGGGGTAGAGTTCCCAAGCACTGGAGTAGGGAAGCTGGCTGCAAACAGCGAGCTCAGGAGTGGGCTTTCTGCTCAGTGTTGCCATAAACTATGAACCAACCATGGCATGTTCAAGTGACTGCTCTTGCATCAAGAGCCTAGCAAGGGGCAGACCTGTAGTGAGACTTTCCTTCCTCCTCACAGGGAGGAGCAGTGGGTATGTGCACTGCAGGAGTCAACAGGGTTTGGAGACTCAAAACAGTTGTGTGCCTGAGCAAAAAATGCTCAGTCACAGGCTGGGTGAGCACAGAGTGTGACAGAGACCAGGGAGATGGGAGTGACTGATTGCTTTTCCCTGAGGGTATACTGAGGAGTAGGGCCCTGAGCTTTCGGGTCAAGGTTAGAGATTGGGAGGCTGTCATTTTCATTCTCATCTTCTAAAGCAGTGTGGAAAGACTTCACGGAACAAAAGCCCCATAGAACAATCTGGAGCAGATTACGTAGGCTGGCCCCCAGGCAAGGGCTGTGCAGTTCTGCCCAGGGCAAAGACATCTGAGAATCAATGCAACAGGCCCCTAATCCAGAATTTCATCAAGAATGTCTGGCTAAAACCAAGTTTACGGATCACACAGAACTGAGAAACTCCAGCTCTAGGGGAAAACAGTATATAGAATTCATGGTATTTTCTCATGATTTTTCAGTCTAATTTTTTTCTTTTTCCTTTTCCAATTTCTTATTCCATCAACTCTTAAGTCTTTTTTAATTTTCATTTTTACAGTTACAACCTCTTCTTTCATTGTATTTAATTTAATTTTTTTACATATATGTTTTTCTTTCTTTACAATTTTGGGATCTAGTTTTCTAACAAAGTGACTAAAATACACTCGATGTATTACTCTATTCTGTTCAGTTGTTTGATTATATATTTTCTCTTTTTTAAATTTTCTTTTCGGTTTCAGGTCTCTTCTGATTTGTGTATATTTCTCTGGGGTCGTTGTTGCTATTTTAGCATTTTGTTCTCTTGTTCATCTATTCTATGGACAGAATGACAAGACAGAAAAACCTCAAAAAAGAGACAAGAGGCAGTACTGACTGCCAGGAACTTAATCGGTATGGATATAATAAGTACGACATCAGAACTAGAGTTCAGAATAATGATTATAAAGATACTAGCTGGGCTTGAAAAAGGCACAGATGACACTAGAGAATCCCTTTCTGGAGAAATAAAAGAACTAAAATTTTACCCAGTTGAAATCAAAAGGCTATTAATGAGATGTGTTTAAAAAATGGAGACTCTAATTGCTATGATAAATGAGGCAGAGGAGAGAATTATTGATATTGAAGACAAAGTGATGGAGAATAAAGAAGCTGAGAAAAAGAGACAACTACTGTATCATGAGGGGAGAATATGAGGGATAAGTGATATTATAAAGCAAAACAGTATTAAAATAATTGGGATCCCAGAAGAAGAAAGAAGAGAGGGAAGGTCAGAAGGTAAACTGGAGCAAATTATAGCTGAGAACTTCCCTAATCTGCAGGAAGGAAACAGGCATTCAAATTCAGGAGGCACAGAGAACCCTCCCTTAAAAATTAATAAAAATGGGTCAATTACCTTGAAATTTAATAGTGAAACCTGCAAATTTCAGAGACAAAGAGCAAATCCTGAAAACAACTGAGGACAAAAAGTCCTTAACCTATAAGGGTAGAAACATTAGACTGGCAGCAGACCTATCCACAGACCTATCTACCTGGCAGGCCAGAAAGGACTGGCATGATATATTCAGGGTGCTAAATGGGAAAAATATGCAGCTGAGAATATTTTATCCAGCAAGGCTGTCATTCAGAATAGGAGGAGAGATAAAGAGCTTCCAGAACAAACAGAAATAAAAGAATTTGTGATTCCTAAACTAGTCCTGCAAAAAATATTAAAGGGGATCTTTTAAGCAAAGAGAGAGCCCCAAAATAACAAAGACCAGAAAGGTAAAGAGACAATATATGGAAGCAGTGACTTTATAGATAACATAATGACATTAAATTCATATTTTTCAATAGTTACTCTGAATGTAAATGGGCTAAATGCCCCAATTAGAAGACACAGGGTATCAGACGGGTTATAAAAGCAAGACCCATCCATATGCTTTCTATAAGAGGCTCATTTTAGACCTAATAACACCCTGAGATTGAGAGTGAGGGGGTGGAAAACCATTTATTATTCTAATGGACATCAAAAGAAAACTGGGGAAGCAATCCTTATTTCAGACAAATTAGAATATAAACTGAAGACTGTAATAAGAGATGAGGAAGGACACTATCTCATAAAGGGTCTATCCAACAAGAAGATTTAAAAATTGTAAATATTTATGACTGTAACAGGAGAGTACCCATTTACATATAAACCAATTAATAACAAAATTAAAGAAACACATTGACAATCATGTAATAATAGTAGAGGACTTTAACGCCCTACTCACAGAAATGGACAGATCACCTAAGCAGAAGATCAACACAGAAACAAGGGCTTTGAATGACACACTGGACCAGATGGACTTCGCAGATATATTCAGAGCATTTTATCCTAAAGCAAGAGAATACACATTCTTCTCAGGTGCACATGGAACATTCTCCAGAACAGATCACATCATGGGTCACAAATCAGGTCTCAACTGATACCAAAAGACTGAGATCATTCCCTTACATATTTTCAGACCACAATACTTTAAAACTGGAAATCAATCAAAAGAGGAAATTTGGAAAGAACTCAAATACATGGAGGTTAAAGAGCATTCTACTAAAGAATGAATGAGTCAACCAGGAAATTAAAGAAGAATTAACAAAATTCATGGAAACAAATGAAAATGAAAACACAACTGCTCAAAGCCTTTGGGTGCAGAAAAGGTGGTCCTAAAAGGGAAGTACATGGCAATACAAGCCTTCTCAAGAAACAAGAAAGGTCTCAAATATACAACCTAATCTTACACCTAAGTGAGCTGGAAAAAGAACAGCAAATAAAGCCTAAAGAAGAGAATTAATAAATCCTGAAGCAGAAATCAATGAAACAGAAACCAAAAGAACAGTAGAACAGATCAATGAAACTGGAATCTAGTTCTTTGAAAGAATGAGATCGATAAGCCTCTGGCCAGACTTATCAAAAAAAAAAAAAAAAAAGAGAGAGAGAGAGAGAGAGAGAAAGAAAAAGTGAGAGAGAAGAGCCAAATGAATAAAATCATGAGCGAAAGAGGAGAGATCACAACCAACATCAAAGAAATACAATTATAAGAACATATTATATGAGCAACTATATGCCAAAAATCTGGCAATCTGGAAGTAATGAATATATTCCTAGAAACACATAAACTACCAAAACTGAAACAAGAAGAAATAGAAAACCTGAACAGAGCCATAACCAGCAAGGAAATTGAAGCAGTAATAAAAAATCTCCCAACAAGAGAGATGGCTTCCCAGGGGAATTTAAACAAACATTCCAGATGGCTTCCCAGGGGAATTTAAACAAACATTTAAAGAAGAATTAATACTTACTCTTCTGAAGCTGTTTCAAAAAATAGAAATGGAAGAAAAACTTCCAAACTCTTTCTATAAGGCCAGCATTACCTTGATACCAAAACCAGACAAACACTCCACCAAAAAGGTGAATTACAGACCAATATCCGTGATGAACATGGATACAAAAATTCTCACCAAGATACAAGCCAATAGGATCCAACAGTACATTAAAGGGATTATTCACCACGACCAACTGGGATTTATCATACACTGTAGGGATAGAGGGAACATACTTCAATATCATAAAACCCATATATGAAAAGCACACAGTGAACATCATTCTTGATGGGGAAAAACTGAGAACTTTTCCCCTAAGGTTAGGAACATGGCAGGGATGTCCATTATGACCCTGTTGTTCAACACTGTAACAGAAATCCTAGCCTCAGCAATCAGACAACAAAAAGAAATAAAAGGCATCTGAATAGGCAAAGAAGTAGTCAAATTCTCACTCTTCACAGATGACTTGAAAGTCTATGTGGAAAGCCCAAAAGATCCACCCTAAAATTGCTAGAACTCATACAGGAATTCAGCAAAGTGGCAGGATATAAAATCAATGCACAGAAATAAGTTGCATCTCTATACACTAACAATGAGACAGAAGAAAGAGAAATCAAGGAGCTGATTCCATTTATAATTGCACCAAAACCCATGAGATACCTAGGAAAAGAACTAACCAAGGAGGCAAAAGATCTGTACTCAGAAAACTGTAGGACAATCATGAAAGAAATTGAGGAAGACACAAAGAAATGGAAAAATGTTCCATACTCATGGATTGGAAGAACAAATATTGTTATAATGTTTATGCTTCCTAGAGCAATCTATACCTTCAATGCAATCCCTATTAAAATACCATCAACTTTTCTTCACAGAGCTAGAACAAATAATCCTAAAATGTGTATGGAACTAGAAAAGACCCTGAAGGAATGTTGGAAAAGAAAACCAAAGCTGGTGACATCATATCCTGGACTTCAAGCTCTATTACAACACTGTAATCATCAAGGCAGTATGGTACTGGCACACAGAAACAGATACATAGATCAATGGAATAGAAGAGAGAAAACTAAGAAATGGACACTCAAATCTATAGTCAACTAATCTTTGACAAAGCAGAAAGGAATATCCAATGGAAAAAAAGACAGTCTCTTCAACAAATGGTGTTGGGAAACTTGGGACAGCCACATGGAGAAGAAAAAAACTGGACCACTTTCGTAAGTCATACACAAAAATAAAATAAAAATGGATTAAAGATTAAATGTGATATAGAAATTCATCAAAGTCCTAGGAATCCATCAAAATCCAACCTCTTTGACCTTGGCCACAACAACTTCTTGCTAGACAAGTCTCCAAAGGCAAGAGAAAGGCAAAAATGAACATAACAGGCTCCGTGTGGGTCCGGGTAGCCTGCTTCTCCCTTTGCCTATGTCTCTGCCCCTCTCTCTGTATCTTTCATGAATAAGTAAAATTAAAAAAAAAAAACGTTAAAAAAGTTTGCACAGCAAAGGAAATAGCTGACAAAACCAAAACACAACTGAAAGAATGAGAGAAGATATTTGCATACGTCTTATCAGATAAAGGGTTAGTATCCAAGATCTATAAAGAACCTTCCAAATTTAGTACCCAAAGAACAAATAATCCAATCAAGAAATGGGCAGAAGACATGAAAAGACATTTCTCCAAAGAAGGCATACAAATGGCCAAAAGACACATGAAAAAATGCTAAACATCACTCAGCATCAGAGAAATACAAATCAAAACCACAATGAGATACCACCTCACACCAGTAAGAATGGCTAAAATGAACAAGTCAGGAAATGATAGATTTTGGCCAGGATGCAGAGAAGAGGAACCCTCTTACTATGTTGGTGGGGAATGCAAGCTGGTACAGCCACTCTGGAAAACAGTATGGAGGTTCCTCAAAAAATTGAAAACAGAGCTACTCTACAACCCAGCAATTGTGCTACTAGGTATTTACCCCAAAGATATAAATGTAGTGATCTGAAGGGGCACCTGCACCCCAATGTTTATAGCAGCAATGTCCACAATAGCCAAACTATGGAGAGAGCCCAGACATCCACGAATAGATGAATAGATAGATGTGGTATATATACATATACAATGTAATACTGATCTTGCCATTTGCAACAACATGGATGGAACTAGAAGGTATTATGCTAAGTGAAATTAGTCAATCAGAGAAAGACAATTACATGATCTCGCTCATTTGTGGGATTTAAGAAACCAAACAGAGGATCATAGGAGAAGAGAGGGAAAAATAAAACAAGACAAAATCAGAGAGGGAGACAAATCATAAGACTCTTAATCATAGGAAACAAACTGAACGCTGCTAGAGGGGAAGCGAGGATGGGGTAACTAAGGAGGGCATGTGATGTTATGAGTACTGGATGTTATACAAAGACTGATGAATCACTGAACTCTACTTCTGAAACTAATAAAACACTGTATGTTAATTAAATGAATTTAAATTTTAAAAATAAAATTATAAAATAAAATGCCACTCAACCTTCATACTTTATGTTTATGATCTAAAACTTGAAAATCCTATGTTTCTAAAATTAATGAAATCTTGCATTCCTTTATCATTTACCTGGTGATCCAAATGTTACTGCTTGTGTACTGCTGAATCCAAATGCAGGTGCTGCTTGATTTATTCCATCCTTTAGATCTGAGAGCTATCAAAAAAAAAAAAGTGGGCAAATAATAAAGTAATTGATGAGTAGTTCTCAGTTACCTTTTCTATATACTTTACAGCCAAATTCAATTTTAAAAATGTACACTTAAAAATATGTTTATCATAGAAAAGTGCTCACAATATGAATATGCATAGAAAAAAATGGACAAATCTCAATGAAGTAAGAGCAACTGGCTGATGAATTATGGGTGATTTTATTTATGCTTCTAAAATATTTTCTAAATTTCTTCAATGAGTATACATTAAAATCAGAAAAAAAATTTTGTAACACTTTTTTCTTTTTTTTTTTTTTAAAAGATTTTATTTATTTATTCATGAGATACACACAGAGAGATAGAGAGAGGCAGAGACACAGACAGAGGGAGAAGCAGACTCCATGCAGGGAACCTGACCCGGGACTTGATCCTGGGTCTCCAGGATCATGCTCTGGGCTGAAGGTGGCGCTAAACCGCTAAGCCACTCAGGCTGCCCACTGTAATACATTTCAACGTCTATAGGTTGATTACCAAGAAATCTAGAATTCAGGTAAAGGGCCTTTAGAGGCTACCCACTCTGCTTAGTCTAATACTTGAACTGAAGCTGATTCACAATTACATTAAAAGCTTACTATTAAAATTAAACATTTCCTATTTCCTGAGAATACTTTGTTTTTGCTATTTTCTACTCTAGAAATGTTTTTCATCTCTGCATACTGAAATCTTAATCTCCCTTTCAAGGAACTTTTCCTTTACTCCTTATCTCCAAGAATCTTTTCCTAATCAACTCAAAACAAATATGATTTCTCTCATATGGAAGCCTTAAAAGCATTTTTCAAAAATCAATTTCATTGAGGCATAGTTTATACACAATAAAATGCATCCATCATATATATGTAAAATTTATATATATATTTAAAAATATATAAAAAAAATATATATATATATAAATTTTGATGTTTTTTTTTAAATTTTTTTTTTTTATTTATGATAGTCAGAGAGAGAGAGAGAGGCAGAGACACAGGTAGAGGGAAAAGCAGGCTCCATGCACCGGGAGCCCGACGTGGGACTTGATCCCGGGTCTCCAGGATCGCGCCCTGGGCCAAAGGCAGGCGCCAAACCGCTGCGCCACCCAGGGATCCCAATTTTGATGAATTTTGACAAACTTATAGCCACCGCCACAATCAAGATTTAAAATACTTCTATCACCCCCTAAAAACTCCCTTGTGTTCTTTTTCAGTCAAAACTCTCCCAATCCCTGGGCATAGGGAACCACTCATCCTTTTCTGTCACTATAGATGAGGATTATTTTCTTTTTTTTCCTAAAGATTTTAAAAATTTATTTATTGGAGAGAGAGAAAGAGACTAAGCGGGAGGGAGAAAGAGAGAATTTGAAGCCGACTCTGCATTGAGGGTAGAGTTGCTTTTCAATCTCAGGGCTCCTGAGATCAGGACTTAGGCCGAAATCAAGAGTTGGATGCTTAACTGACTGAGCTACCCAGGCACCCTGATGAGGTTTTTCTTTAGTTTTCTCTCCCTCAGTGTAATATTCATTGATGGGTATATAGATAAACATATTATACACAAACACTGAATTAAAAGAACAAAGAATTAACTATTGATATATGCTAAACCCACTGTAGGTGGACTAAGATAAGATCCTCACCTATGGAGGGTCCCCTAGAAAGCTGGCAAAGAGCAAAGAACTTCTAACCCCAAGGGAAGTTCTGCAGTTCTTTGGACTCAGTTACCCCTTCTACATTAGCAGTAGGGATGGTGGGCCACCTCTCACATGGGGAGAGAATACTTCCAAGAAGTCCTACTAAATTTAAATGGCATTATAACAACTAAATGGTGAAGAAATTAGATTCCCCAAGAGTCTGTCTAGAAAGTACATACTTAAGGCATGGAATGCTGGAACAGTCACCCAGTCATTTACTAAGTTAGGCAGCTACAACTCTCATAGCCTTTTCAGAAAGTAGAAACATAAATCGCCTGGGAAACTGTAAATTTATCTTATTTCAAAATAAGGCTCTTAAGAAATTTTTATGGGAATAGAAACATAATTTTATTGACAGAGATAATACAGTCAGAGATAATATCTTTGGAAACAGATAGGTATATATCTACTAAAAGTATTTCTGTATAAGTCAGGGAACATATGGTGAGTGTTTTCCATTCATAAAAGTATACATTAGTCTAAACTTATATTCAGATCATTTTTCATAGCAATTTCTTTGTAAATGTTGATAATCTGGTATTCTTGAATTTATGTGATATTTTCAAAACTAGACCACCAAAGTAAAAAACTTTACCCTAAAAATCATTTTAGGAAAGCAAAGTTATCTGAGCTTTTCTGACTAAGGAACAGAGAGAAAGCAATTCTAGGGCTGTGACTTTAAATGATGATAGTCTTGAGAATGTGTGTATCATAATTCTTGACAGAGAATTTTAGCCTTGCTTTCCAAATCCAAAGTGAAATTCTCTGCAAAAAAAAGCAACAGATAAGATACTTCCCCCACAGAAAATTCTCCAATACTCACCAAAGCTATATTAGCTGATGTATTCAAACTTTTCAGTTCATTTATTCTGTTTCTCCATTGATTTACTAACTGTTGGAGGGAATTCAGCTGAAGAGAGAAGACAGAAAAATAACGAGTCAATATTGAGTGTTTAGAAGTTTGTTTCTCCAACTTTATGTCTTTATTTGCTCAAATCACAAAAAATGATGAAACATTTTTATGGCCCATAACTTATACATAATTTGCCCAAGATGTTCCAGCTGTAGTTCCCTCCCTGTTCTCCAACTCCTTGTGTCACCTGGTTCAGAACCTCAAGTATGTGAAAGCACAGAGAGTTTTATCTGGATGGGAGGCGAACATGTATACTAGTTGAAATGCTTGATCATGACTGTAGAAAACACAAAAATACAGTTGATGTTATTTCCTTTAAGCACCAAACTTATTCAAGCCCAACTTTTTTATTTTTTGACATCTGATATGTGAAAATGTTAATCTGCATAAACAGACTGTGTCTTATTTCACTTTGTTTTTCTAGAATTCATCATGGTGTCTGTCTGCACCTAAGAGATGTTCCATAAATATCAAATGATGAAATGAAAGAGTGACTTCTAGGACTGATTGCTGGATAATTTGTAATAAAAATATGACATTCCTACTTGTATAGTCAAAATATATTATTACCATTTTAGATAACCAACCAATTTCAAAGAAATTAATTTAGAAAATAAAAATAGCCTTGTCTTGAGAAAAATTATAGACCTCATCCACTCTGCCAACATACAAGCAAGCCACTACAAACAGAGAAGACAGTAATTAACAGCTAATCTGGTATCAAGGTAGATGAATAGGAAACAAACTTACATAACTCTGTAAGTTATTGCTGGTTAAGAAGTTATGGTATTCAAGCCTCAACTCCTCTGGTGAAATGTCTGTAAAACCTGAAGTGAGGAATCAATTGGAATCTTTAAAATAAATGTCAATACTTTTAATAGTAAAGCTAGAAGTGCTAGACAAAATATGATGCTGATCATAAGAAAATTTTCATTATCATAAGGAAAAATTTCAAAGCCTATACTCTAATGTTTAATAAAGTATAAAATTAGAATAAAATATGGTTGGATATTTGATCTTCAAAGGGGGAAATTTTCTAAAGATAAATGGGAAAAAAAAATAAAGATAAATGGAGTGGAAGGAATGACAAAGAAAAAGAGTTGACTACATATACATTCAAGCTTCTTGTTTAATAAATATTCTGTATGCCAGAAACTGTAATAACCAAAATTAAAAGACAAATGGTAAACTGAGAAAACTGTAACTGCAACATATATGACAGGAGAAGAGCTAATGTCAATGTATAAATAGCACTTACAATCAATAAGAAAAATAAGTTAATATGGGCAAAGATAATAAACATCCAACTCAAAAACATTCAAAGAGCCAGCAAATAAATCAAATAAAAAAGGTGAATTTAAAAATCAACTAAAAATGGAGATAAAATGCTTTACTTAATGGCAAAAATTAAAAATGGATGGCATTTATTGTTACAAAGGGTGTGGTAAAATGGATACTCTCCTAAACTGCCTTTAAGGAATCAAAAAGGTACTTTTCTGGAGGAAAATTGTCATTAAGTGTCAGATGCCTAAAATATGTTCATACTTTGTCCTTAATAAAATTTCTAGGTTTAACCTCCAGAAAATAGACGTATAAACAAAGAGTTTAATGTATGAAAATGTTCATTCTAGCATTTTTAGTAGTAGAGACAAACTGAAAACAACAAAGTATAATACAAAACTAGATTATGATCCTAATTATATGTATTTTATATATATGATTACATATATATATATAGGAAATATGATTATACTTGTTTTTGAAAGAAATACTCTAAAATGTTATCATTGTTTTCTCTGTGATCAGGTGATCTTTGTTTTATTTACATATTTCTGTGTTTTTCAAGTTTTCTATGGTAACAGCTGTAAATTTATAATTAGAAAAACTTTTTAAGAAAGGAAAAACAATGTTCAGGATATTTTCTACAGAGAATTACTTGTAACCCAGATATCATTAACTCTATGGACATCTACACCCCAGGGGGGTGTAAAGAAAAAGACTAAAAAAAAAAAAAAAAAAAAAAAGGAAAAAGACTAAACTTTCAAATTAGAACTTTGGATTCCTCAACACTTTGTCTTTATACCATCTTGATTAACCGTTCAGGCCAAAAAACTAGGAATCCTCCAACATTTCTCTTTCCTCACATCTAATCAGTCAGCATCCTGCCGATTCTAACTCTAAAACAGAACACGGATTTGACCAATTCTGTCTCCACTGCTAGTAACTATAACCCAGTCAGTCACCAGCATTTGTCTCCTAACTCATCTCCTTGTCTCTATTTTGCTTCTTAGGCCCTACCACTTCCTACAGACCATTTCTTTTCATACAACAGCCTGAGTGAGTTTTTTCTAATCAGATCATATCCTTCTCCTGCTTACAGCTCCACATGGCTGCTCAGTACAATTAGGTCCAACATGACCTGGCTCCTGGCTGACTCCATGGCTTTATGTCCTAGGACTCTTTCCCTTGTTCACTCTCCTCCAGGGTTTCAGGCCTCACTAATCCTCAAACCTGCCAACCTTATTCCTACAAGGGCCTATGCATTAGCTATTCCTATTGCCAGGAATGTTTTACCCAAATATTCCCAAAAATGACACCTTCTTTTCACTTAGGACTCAACTTTAATATTGCCTCCTAAGAATGGAAAACCACTCTAACTAAAGGAATAATATCCCTCTAGTTACTTTCTCCTTCTTCCAGTTGTTCCTCATCTGAAATCACAGGACATGGAAAATTATGTGACTATGTTCTCAATTCTCTCAAGGGTGGTACAAAAGCAGTATCATTTTAGATGCATAGGAAAAGTTAATTCATTGTAACTGGTATCTAAGGACAGTAGTTCTCCAACTTTTTTTGGCCCAAGACCCATCTATATTCTTAAAAATCATTAAACAGTCCCAAAGAGCTTTTGTTTACATAGGTTATATACATCAATATTTGCCATATTTAAAATGAAAAAGAAGAAATACAGACCATATGTATTAATTCACATAAAAATAAGAAACCAGGGGTGCCTTGGTGGTATAGTAAGTTGAACATCCAACTCTTGGTTTCAGGTCAGCTTGTGAGCTCAGGGTTGTGGGATCAAGCTCCATGTTGGGCTCCATGCTCAGCTTGTAGTCTACTTGAGATTCTCTCTCTCCCTCTCCCTCTGCCCTTCCCCCTTCATGTACTCTCTCCAATAAATAAATATATCTTAAAAAAAGAAACCAATTACATATCAACATAAATAGCCTATTTTTAAAGCAAAAAATAAACATTTAGTGAGATGAATAGCAATGTCTTATGTTCGTAATATTTTTAAACATACCTTTATTTAAAAATATTTTATTGCTAAAAATCTTGACCCTCTTCTGAACTTTCAGTGGGTCATCGGCTTTTTGCTGAGGGACTGTAAATTTTTTAACACTTGACTTTAAGAGAAGATTGCTGGATTAAATCTGCTTCTACATTCAATCTGTTGCAGTATATTGCCTGGTTGAAGTATATGAAGACAATCTGTTCTAACATAGAGAAGTAGCTAGAAATAGAAGACTTTAATAGCTTTTTCAGAGAATTGTGGATATTCTTCTTTGACACTACCCCAAAACTTGACAGGTTGTAATTCCTTAAAAATTAGCTAGAATGCAAACTCGAACCATACTAATTAACTTTTTCTACTATTATATCAAATCCAGTGGTTTATCTTGCACTTAAAATGGATTTTCAATCATGCATAATTTTACAGTATCATACACTGGTCATTTGGAAAATACTGGTTCATTGAGTCACCTAGAACTTCTAAAAGCTGACATGTGCCATCTTACAACATAAAAAACTCATATTTGTTAATATCACTATCCATCTCATCAGAAGAGACTTTAAATATTAAGAAGTCATTAAGCTTACAGTGGCAGAAAACAATTTTCTATAATTCTAATTTTCACTAGAAAGTTCAAATTTTGTCACTGGCAATAGTCAGTTGTTTTCTTTGAAGTGATAGACTCACTTCATTAGTTTAAAAAAAAATGTTGCCAAGTACCTTTCAAGTAAAAAAATATGAAAAAAGTGGCTAGTTCAGTTTATAATCCATACAACTTCAGTGCCTTCCCTAAAAATAACCATCATATGTGAGTTTGTGGCAGAAGCACTTTATGTGCACTTCTTTTTTTTTTTTAAGATTTTATTTATTTATTCATGAGAGACAGAGAGGCAGAGACATAGGCAAAGGCAGAAGCAGGCTCCCTGCAGGGAGCCCCATGTGGGACTTGATCCTGGGACTCCAGGATCATGTCCTGAGCTGAAGGCAGACACTCAACCACTGAGCCACCCAGGCAATCCTGTGTCCTTCCCATTTTGTCACAAAGATTAAAGGTATGCACTCAAGAGTCAAGATTAATAAAACAAGTCTTTTTACCTCTTCATCAAAAATTTTAAGTGAAAACGACATTAAAATTTTTTTTATTGGAGTGCCTGGCTAGTGTGATCCAGAAGAGCATGTGACTCTTGATTTGGGGTTATGAGTTTGAACCCCATATTGGTTATAGAGATTACTTAAATAAAACTTAAAAAAAAAATTTGTATTGACTATTATAGTCTGCTAGTACAGTGTGTTGCCTCTGCCTTGATTCATGCTAAAACACAAGTTTTACTCATGAATGCCTTTGCACCAACAGTGCAAATGTCATCAGAGTGACATTTATAATGTCTTAGTACTATTATGAAAATATGAATTTATATAGTTTTTAAAAGGGTCTCAAGAATAGGGTTGCCAGGTTGAGCAAATAATAATATAGGATGCCCAGTGAAATTTGAATTTCAGATATACAACAAATAACTTTTTAGTAGAAGTATGTCCCAAATATTATATGGAACATTCAAATACTACAAACATTTTTTAGAGGAGCCTGGGAAGTTCAGTTGGTTAAGCATCCAAATCTTGGTTTCAGCTTAGGTCATGATCTCACAGGTTGTGGGATCAAGCCCTACGTTGGGTTCCCCACTCAGCGGGGAGTCTGTTCCCCTCATCCTCTTCCTCTGCCCCTCCTCCAGCTTATGCAGACTCTCTCTCAAATAAATCAATAAATCTTAAAAAAAAAAAAAAGGAAAATGTTACTGAAAATTATTTATTTGTATTACTTATTTTCTCCCTCTCTCAAGAACATAAAGTTTTGTAAGGGAGGGACCTTGTCTGTCTTGCTCATCACTATATCCTTAGATCTTAGAAAAGGGCTTGACACAAAAATTCTGTATTTTCTTGAACTGGGTGAATAAATAATGACTGGTGTGACATCACTGCTCACAGGGAATGAACAGGTACAGCTGAGAGAGAGCAGGGATCCCAAAGTTCTGAGGGACTGCAAGGGCTCTCATTTGTTAGGTACCTGCTGTTTACTCAATAGGGCAGAGGCCCAGGACCACCTAAAGTGGGATTAGAAAAGCGTGGCACTTTAGGTTTCAGTTCAGAAGGGGCTTAGGGACTAAGGACCAAAGAAAATGGGAAGGGAAAAGAGAATTCTAAAGAAATGCTATCTCTGTAGCCCAGCTAAATCTCTTTATCTTCACACATTATCTCTAGGATAGGTCTCAACATGCTTTATGAAAAATAACTATCTTTGGAAGAAAATATAAAGAAAGGGAAAACAGAATCAGGTAGCCAAGGCCTTAATGGCAAGTAGGATGTGAATCTTCTATTCACTCCAGGTAGCTAAGAGGTTCTGAAGTTGTACCTACAGGGAACCCAGAAAACAGAGATTCTTTGGGCGCTTACTGAATGGGAATTGTGGTAGGTACTGATTTCAGTATTTTCTCATGAGAACCAGGTATCTTAAAAGAATTTTATCTTTTATCTGAATTATGAAGTTCTGCCAGAATATTGGGATACTTTAAACAATGCCCAAACTCTCCTAACAGTGGCTAAGTTTGTGGTTAGTTTTTTTGGCATGATCTTGGTTTTAGAAATTAATAAGAGCTGTTAAGAATATTTTAAAAACACAAAATTTCTCAATTACCTGAAATATTAGGTTTCTTTTTCATTGGTGAATAAACAGAAAACATCCACTGCCCTGAAGATTCCCAAATTTCCATATCTTTTATAATTCCTTCCCTGGGGGAAAAAAAAGAGCAAAGGATCTTTTTTATCTGCTTGTTAAAATTTATTGTTTATAATCATCAATGACTAAAATTTTAAATTGTAGTAAGTATATAATTTTAGTTTTTTTAAAAATTATTTTTTAAAGAGTTTATTTGAGAGAGAGTGAGAGAGAAAGCACAAACAAGGAAGGGCAGTGAGAGAGGGAGGAGCTGACTCCCCACTGAGCAGGGAGGTAGCCTGTGGGGCTTGATCCCAGGACCCTGGGCGAAGCCACCCAGGTGCCTCCCCCACCCCTTTTTATTAAAAGATTTTATTTATTTTTATAGAGAGAGAGAGAGGGAGGGAGGGAGGGAGAGGGAGAGAGAGAAAGAAAGAGAGAGAGAGAGAGAGAAAGAGAGTGCACATGCAAGGTGGGGGGAGGGCATAGGGTGCAGCAGACTCCTCCCTGACACAGGGCTCAATCTTTGACCCTGAGCTCATGACCTGAGATAAAATCAAGGGTTGGATGCTTAACCGACTGAGCCAGCAAGATGCCTCTAGATTTTTCCACTGTATTTTCTGAAGAGTATTCTTTAAAGCAGAATTTATGGAATAAGAACTCTATTTCATGATTTTAAATATTATAATGTCAAAAGAGTTCATAGTTTCAGTTTTCCAGTAAACTAAACCATTAACCAATACATTTAGTCAGTGAGAACTATTAAACTATACATATTTTAAAGAACTATAATATAATAAAATATACAATACTAACTCCAATCTTTCTTTGTTCATTACCATAAACATCAATTATAATTTAACTGGAAAAAGACAGAAAGCACCATAAAATATAGAACCATAATTTTTTTTTTTAAATTTTTATTCATTTATGATAGTCACACAGAGAGAGAGACAGAGAGGCAGAGACATAAGCAGAGGGAGAAGCAGGCTCCATGCACCGGGAGCCCGATGTGGGATTCGATCCGGGGTCTCCAGGATCGATGTGGGATTCGATCCGGGGTCTCCAGGATCGCGCCCTGGGCCAAAGGCAGGCACTAAACTGCTGCGCCACCCAGGGTTCCCTAGAACCATAAAATTTTTAAAGTGGGTAGGACTTTAGAGATCATTTTGTCCAATTCTCACTTTTGCAAAAGGGGAAAACAGACCCATGTCCATAGAGCTAATTTATTGGCAAAGCTGTGGTTAGATCTGACTCTAAATTAAATGTTCCCCTCCCCCATTCAGAATGCTACAATTAATAAAACGATAGTTACCACAGAGGTACTGGATTAAAATCAGGATTTTTATGACATCGAATATAGGAAGGAGGGCTTTGTTTGCTCTTTGACCTTTACAAAAAATCAACTGTATATGGTACATGGCTCAAAATGTTTACCATTCATTATAATTTATTAAGGGAAATAAAAGACTAACAACTACATTTAAGTTCTTTCCCAGGAGCCAAGGCAACAGTTACAGAGAGAGAGCCAGGGACTATTTTGGCACCAGTCATACCTTCTACCATTATTAAAAAAATGATAAGAAGGGAGATCCCTGGGTGGCTCAGAGGTTTGGTGCCTGCCTTTGGCCCAGGGCGTGATCCTGGGGCCCCAGGATCGAGTCCCGCCTCGGGCTCCCTGCATTGAGCCTGCTTCTCCCTCTACCTGTGTCTCTGTCTCTCTCATGAATAAATAATAAAATAAAATCTAAAAAAAAAAAAAAAAAAAAAAAAAGATAAGGAATCTGTGCCACAGTAATGAAGGAAATCAAATGAAACCTTTTTCAAGAAAGTAGTTGGAATTTTTAGGATGAAAAATACCAGATACTATAAGTGATCACCAAGAGTACAAATTGCTTTAAATTACCTATATTTTGTAAAGAACTAATTATTTACAACAAACTTAAGCAGAACTACCTTAAAAGATATGCTGAGTGTTGATAGTGTTATCAATATTGATAGTGTTATCAATAGAAAAATGGAAAAAGCATAATTAGCCCTGAGAAGTCAATGTGCTGGTTTGGAAGGGTGACATATTTTTAAGTGAAATGAAGTGTACTATGACATATGCAAAACAATGGTTCTCTCTGAGTGATAGGATCATGGGTACTTTTTCTTGTCTTTGCTTATTCTGATTTTTTAATAATACTTTTCTTAAAGAAAATATTGTAGGTATTTTTGAAAAAAAAAGCAAATGGGTAGTAATTTTTTCTGAAGACTTTCACTTACAGAAGTTTCTTTTCATCTTTCTGCCCATCAGAACTGGGTGAAGCAAATGGGTTCTGGGACAATCCAAACCCCCTGTTCCTGCTAGTTGAAGCTCCAGAATCGAAGGAACCAAAAGATGGCTTTTCTTGATCTCTGCTGCCCCCCCATGGTGTTGATTTGGAGAAGCTGGATGGCTGAATAACGCTGGAATATCTTTGGCTGGTGGCATTCCATCCACGTCTGTTACTACCTGAAAATAAACAATAAAATAATTTTATTGGCAACTCCTCTTTTAAGTCTCAAAATTTTTCATTATACTGTCTTATTATGTGCAGACATGATGCAAAGATTCAACAAGCACCATACTTCCACTCATTTTAAAGCACAAAACTCTTCATTTTTGATTTATACAGTTACTTGTAACCAGCAAATCAAGTAATGGTCTAATGGCATTTTTTGTTTAACAAGATTGAGAGGACTGTAAACCCATTGAAAAATAATGATATATTACTAAGTTCAGTGATATAAGTTTTTTTTTTGTGATATAAGTTTATTAAGTAAACAACTGCTTGATAGTGGGTTTAGGATGTAACCTAAGTCATAAGCTCCTTCAGGATAAAAAGCTGTCTTTACCATTCTTTGCTTTTCCACTAGGCCGTATATAGCAGTAAAGGCTGAAAAATGGACAATGTACTAAAGAGCTGTTGGACATAAAAAATTAGATTCCACCCTCTGTCCTTGAATAGATGCTTAAATCTATTTGATTCAATCTTCTCAGGGAAAACACCTACCCACCTATCTTTCATAGATTGTAATTTACACATGAATAAAATGCACTCAGTTCTTCTATTATGAGCAGATTCTAATATTTCATAATTATCACAATGAGCCAACAGGACTCTCTCCTCTCTATTTTAAAAAATCTTATCACTTAAACTACCTCATTTACTCATCACTCCCTAGTTGGGGCCAAGATAATTTGCCTTGTTTCTGACTAAATTAGGAGACACTCCATGAGATTATATTAAGAACTAGAATGATGGGAGATATACCCCTTCATGAAAGTTCATCTCCCAACTCTACAACTACCTAACAAAAAAACAGATCCCTCGTGTGAGGATCAATGGTATTTTATTTTTCTTAAGTTACAAATCCTTTGAAGAAATTCATTCTTTGGTAGATAGCTTTTGGCCTTCACTGATTAATTATAGAACATTCGTTTCTGGGAGATAAATACTGTTTACTTGATGAGTTTTATCTATGCTTTCTTCATCCATCAATCCCATTCAATATTTATTTTCTAATTACTACGTCTAGAGTGAGTCTCTACAGAGTGCCAAGTATTAAGCAGCCTTTTTTTCCAGGAAATACACGCACAATGATCAGACCCCCAAGTCCTAAAAAAAAAAAAAAAAAAAAAAAAAAAAAATTTGGTTTGGAATATTTCACGAGATGAATTGTGGGTGATGCAAAAACGACTGTCTTTCAAGAAGAGGCATCGGAGGTGAAATCACACTGCAACATAGATTATGGGTCAGATGGACAATCCTGAAAGAGGGAAGGGAACAGAGTGGGGTCAGCATCTTGTGACAACTTTAAGGACTTAAGCTTCGATCCTAAACAAAGAAAAACCTGACTGTTCATCTGACCTTTAAAACTTTGTGTTAAAAACAAAGAAACAAACAAAACCTTGTGTTGGTCTCATTTCTGGTTCCTCCTCTCCTTGAACACAATCCTTCCACATCATGCACAACTGGCTTCAATACTCCAAAACCTCTGACGATGACTCAGACCCAGGAAGTGGGTCCACATGGTCCTCCAACACCCCCTTCCCTCACAGCCCAGAGTTCTTAACTGGGGCAACACACTCTTCCGATTTTACCTTCAATGTTACGAGCCCGTACATTCGCCAGAGCAAGAGCTTTGTAGCTGACATCACACGTTCAAAGGAGTCTGCGACTTCCCCAAAGCCAAGAATCCAGACTTTGGCCCCCGGCTGCGAGCCTCTCTCTCTCGGGAAAAGTCTCGTAAAAATCATACTTAGAGTGTCAAGGGTGAAGAAAAAAACGACAAGCACCCAGAAGGTGGGGTCTAGGTAAAGCAAGGCGGCGTCTGGGTCGGCCTAGACCAGTTCTCCGGACCTTTACCACCCACAGACAAGGCAGTTACGACGCGTACTTCCAACTTAGAAACTCATGGTTTCGCATTAGTACCAAAGGCCAAGACTCTGTCTTCATCCCCACGGCAGAAATCAGCGGGACGCCCACACAGCGGGTAGCGGCGCCGGGGAGAGCCTGCGCCGGGCCCCGGGGGCGGGGCCGAAGGCCGGACGACGCGGGCACGTCAGCGTCACTCGACTGCTGCGCCGCCGCCGCGCTGCGCCGAGCGGCGGGCCCCACGCCGGACGCCCGTTCTCCGCCCGACGGCCCTGGCGCCAGGCCTTCCCCTGCTCCGCTAGCGGCGGCGGATGGAGGAGAACGTCACCTGAGGGCTGTTGCTGCCGTCCTCCGCCCGCACCCCCGGCGCCGGGATGTTCGTTCCAGCACCGGTCTCCAAAGCGGCACCGGCCTTGAAGGAAGAACTGACAAATGGTCATTGCGACGGCGTCGCCCACGGAACGGTCTTCTGTCAGCACCCCGAGCGGACGGAGAGCCCGAAGCAACCGAAGGTCCCTCCCCGCTGCCGTGACGTCATCTTCTCGCGCCCTTTCGTCTCTCTTGTCCGGCCCCGGGATGAGAGGCGTGGATTTTGCCCAATAGGATTTGAGAAGAGCGGGGCGGCCCTTGCCCTCGGGTCGAGCTTGGGAAAGCCGAACGCTCCGAGAGTTAACGTGGTTGCGGATCGTGCCGGCGGCTTGAGGGTGCGAAATGACAGGGAAGGGGGTTAAGGGAACTGCGGTCTTCAGCGGGGACCTGGAGGGGGGGGGGGGATAGCTGTGGCTTGAGAGACCGAGTTGTGTATTTCGTTCGCACCGTTGAGAAAGCAGAGACCTGCGCAGCCATTCATCAGGCGGGAACCAGGAAACACCGGCTAGAGGGCAAACGGAAAACTGTTTCCTCTAAGGACGGACTGCAACTGAAAAGTATCCTCACAGCCCCACCTTCGGATGAACACTGCAATTCTTGCGCTCTTAGAAAGCCGGTTCTCTAAGGGTCAGGTGCGCGCTGCTGTTTGAAATTGTATCAGAGAGAATGAAACATTCTCACTCTCGGCCGGAGGAACGAAGTCACTTGGACACCGGGAAGCAGCTTCGACTTGTGCCCAGGTGCAGAGCTTCCGATCAGGCGTTCCTGAAGGGAGCATTCCTTATTTTTCTTTAATTGGTAGTTTCCGAGGAAACACGGTCCTACCTCCACTTCTCAGTCCAGATCCGATGTTGATGCCTTCACCCACAGCTCAGCTTTGCTTTGAGCTTATCATTTTACCTAACCTCCACCATGCCCACAAGTCTTCATTGTCTTTTTTTTTTTTTTTTTTCCTCTTTGTACGGTGAGACACCCTACGGGTTCTTCTGGTTCGCGGTCTCTGTGGTTTCCCGGAGGCAACAAATAGGACTTTGGTGGATCACAGGTTTGTTCCTGCTGGTTTAGGATGATTGGTCATTGTTCTTGCTCACATCTTCGGATTTTGGATACAGTGGAACCCACAGGAGCACTGGGAATAACTGCTAAATTGTAAAGTTCTTATTTAAGTAATCTCTAAGCCCCAGGTGGGGCTGGAACTCCCCATCCTGAGATCCAGTTGCATGCCCTTCTGACTGAGCCAACCAAGGCGCCCTGACCTAGTTTATTAAAAAACGAACACAGCCACGTGGGGCACCTGGCTGGCTCAGGCAGTAGAGCATGCAACTCTTGATCTCAGGGTGGTGAGTTCAGGACCCACGCTGGGTGTAGAACTTAAGAAATTAAAAAAAAAATTCGCTTACTTTGAAACTTAACTGAACATTTACAAATGCAGTATAAGAGACTATAATGCAGACTTGATGCTCCATCACCCAAATACTTTTATTTCCTACGTAACCACAGTACAATCACCAAAATCAGGACGTTTGTATTGATACATTACTACTATCCTTGGATTGTCTTGCTTTGCCAAATGTCCCAGTGTCTTTAAAGAAAAGAATCCAGTTTAGACTTATTGTTGCCTTACTCATACTTTTATTTAGCCTTACTCATATTTCTTTCTTTAGTCTCCTTCATTCTGGAACATTTCCTCAGTCTTTCCATGACACTCAAGACATTAACACTATTAAAGATCACAGCTGGGCAGCCCTGGTGGCGCAGTGGTTTGGCACCGCCTGCAGCCTGGGGTGTGATCCTGGAGACCCGGGATCAAGTCCCACATTGGGCTCCCTGCATGGAGCCTGCTTCTCCCTCTCCCTGTGTCTCTGCCTCTGTGTGTGTCTATGAATAAACAAATAAAATCTTAAAAAAAAAAAAAAAGATCACAGCTATTTTGTAGAAGTTCTTCAATGCAGATTTATTTGATATTTTCTTGTGACTGGATTCAGATTAAACATTTTTGGCAGGATTATCTCAGAAATGATGCCATGGTCTTCACATTGCACCTCTCAGGTTGTGCACAGTTTCAAGTTGTCCCATCACCTGAGGTGTTCACTTCGATAACCTGGTTAAGGTGGTGTCTGCTGGGCTACTGCAATGACTCTTCGTCTTTGTTATTAATAAGGACTTTGTGAAGAGATACTTTGAAAGTATAAAAATGCCATTCCTCTTCAAGCTTTTTGGTTCACTAATTTATTCCTATCAGTATGGCTTGATTTCCGTGGGTTATAATCTATTACTGTCATTATCTTGAAGTTCAAATCCTCTTCAATTTTGCCAGTGAGAGACCTGTAAGCTTCTTTGTGTTCAGACTCATCCCATGATTCTTTGAGCACTCTCTACTCCTTGGCCCAGAAGATGCTCCAGGCTCACCTTACACTTTTCCCTGATCCAGTCCTGGAATCAGCCATTTATCCAAGGAGCGCTGGGTCTTTCAATGATACGTAGAGGCCAAGATCTGAGCTTTGTTTTCTCATTGTGAGGTCTTTGCTCCCAAACCCTTTCATGGGCATTGCTAGGAAATATGTACTATAGACAGACATATACATCTGTACAGATTTCTGTATCTATATGTATTAGAAACTATGAGTTTACACTGATAACCTCCAGTTCGAGCCCAAGATTGCAGGATTTTATTTTCCTCCTGTATTTGTAACTTCCTCCTTGCATAGTGAGAAACTTGGCTCCTACTGTTTTTTTCTAAAGATTTTTTTAAAAATTTATTCATGAGGGATCCCTGGGTGGCGCAGTGGTTTGGCGCCTGCCTTTGGCCCAGGGCGCGATCCTGGAGACCCGGGATCGAATCCCACGTCGGGCTCCCGGTGCATGGAGCCTGCTTCTCCCTCTGCCTATGTCTCTGCCTCTCTCTCTCTGTGACTATCATAAATAAACAAATTTAAAAAAAAAATTATTCATGAGAGAGAGGCAGAGACATAGGCAGATGGAGAAGCTCCCTGTGGGGAGCCCAATGTGGGACTTGACCCCAGGACCCCAGTAATATGACCTGAGCCGAAGGCAGACACTCAACCACTGAGCCACCCAGGTGTCCTTTGGCTCCTACTGCTTATACTTATTTTGAGCAGTTCCCTTGTATTAGCCAATTTTTAATTGTGGCCACTGACTTCTTCTCTTATGCAAACACCAACATATCGAAGGACCCTGCTGGGATCAAAGACCTAAAATAATTCCAGTGGTGGCTGAAGTTTAAATGAGTGAGCATGGTGCTGTGTGAAAGTGGAGGGGTAGGCAACACCAGATCTCAACTGAAATAATCTAGGTGGAGTGCTGCATGAAGCAATGGGAGACAATGGGAATCTAGGGCTGAGAAATGCAGAGTTCAGTAGTGGTCAGTTGGGGGAGGGGTAGGTGAAAATCAGGAGTGGGGTCACAGGAAGTAAACTTCTAATTTTAAGATGGCAAAGTAAATATATTTCTGCCTCTCTTTCCTCTTGAGAATCATCTCAAAATAAGAGAGGAAACAAGATCTTTGATTATACCAGGAGATAACCACAATCTCAAACCACATTTTCTGAGGACTGAATTGCACATGGAGGAACAGTAATGACTTAAAAGAGAGAAGTAAGGTCAAATTCCTAAAAGGTACACACTGATATCCATAGAGAAGGCTGAAAAGCCTCAGAAATTAAGAGCCACCAGGTACCTACCATAGAAAGGTAGACTGAAAATCTCTATGTGGTGCAGTTAGAATCTCATGTTGAATGATGCAACCTGAAAATGTCTTTTCATACTATCAAATTATTGGGATTGAGTTTGGTGCCATGTTCAAATGGATTGAATTTTATGACATTGTTGGTGTATTAGTTAATGGTCACCCTTAAAAAGCAAAATTTCTGGGGCACCTGGGTGGCTTAGTTAAGTACCCAACTCTTGATTTTGGCTCAGATCATCTCAGGGTTGTGGCATTGAGCCCCATATCACACTCTGAGCTAGGCATGGAACCTGCTTAAGATTCTCTCTCTCCTCCTCCCTCTGCCCTTCCCCCATTTCTCTCCCTCTCTTAAAAAACAAAAAAACCCATTTCCTTTAAATACTCCTTTAACCTGGCCTATGCAGGAAATTTCAAATTTTTGCTGTTAGTAGTATATAAGGTAAAAGGAATATAGACTGCTTGGTTAATAATTGTTTATTAAATGGCTCATTTTTGTGATTCAAAATTTCCTTAAAGACTATAATGTCAGGTTTCTGAAAGCTAGGTCAGAATTGTAATTCAGTACTTTTTAAAAATTTTCTATATTTATTTTAAAGATTTTATTTATTTATTCATGGGAGAGGCAGAGACATAGGCAGAGGGAGAAGCAGGCTCCCTATTGGGAGCCTGATGTGAGACTCAGTCCCAGGACCCCAGGATCATGACCTGAGTCTAAGGCAGACGCTCAACAACTGAGCCACCCAGGTGCCCTAAGTACTGTTTTTTATAGCAAGAGTTTTTTAAAGACACTGAATTTTCAGGGCGCTTGGGTGCCCCAGTCGGTTAAGCATCTGCCTTTGATTCAGGTCATGTGATCCTGGAATTCCAGGATCGAGTCCCACATCAGGCTTCCTGCTCAGCAGCGAGTCTCCTCCTCCCTCTGACACCTCTCTTGTGCTCTCTTTCAAATAAATAAAATCTTTTTAAAAAAAGACATTAAAGTTTCATGTTCAATTTGTGATGTTTAAAAGTATAAACTAAAAACTGCTGTGTCTTCAAATAGTGTCACTGCGAAGGATGAACATTAACATATCACATGCTTACTAAAAAGAAAGTAGAGCTCTTTATATAAAGGACAGGAATTTTGTGAGGGGAAGAAAGGAATAGAAAAAATACTTGCTAGGGTGTCGGACTTTGGTTTTGGTTTGGGTCAGGATTTGGACTGGGGGATAGAGCCCTGCCTCCAGCTCCTTGCTTGGACAGAGGGTCTGCTTGAGGAGTCTCTCCTTCTGCATCCACCCTGCCCTCCAGTAAATAAATCAATTCGAAAAACAACAACTTGCTAATATATTGTGCCATTATCATGGATGGGAATGACCATCATAGAATATTTCCAAGGCAGAAAATAGTTATTTACTAACTACTGAGATTACTAACACCCCCCTAAAAACACCCACAACCCCCCCAAACCCACTTTATTATAACCTACATCATACCTGTCTACATACTTATCATAGTGTGTTCTAGTCAGTTTATACAGCCTGAAGAAAAGGCTAGTCCATTTAAAATATTTCCAACAGTGCTGCACATTCCACACGGGAAGTATTGTATTAATAGAATTAAATTATAATATGACAAATCTTCTTCCCTCAAAAAAATTAAATTGGACATTTTTTTCAGTGGAGTACAAAATTGAAAACCCAATATAAAAATGTTCAAAATAGGCAAATCTAGGGACAAAGATTTAATGGTTGTCTAGGGCTAGGGTGTCTGGGGGTATAACTGGGTTGGATAATATCCCCCCAAAATTCACGTCAACTTGGAACTTCAGAATGTGACCTTATCTGGAAACAGATTCTTAGCAGATGTCCTTAGTAAGGTAAGGTCATACTAGATTGGGAGGAGGGTTGGGTAAATCCAATGACTGCTGTCCTTATCACACCATATGAAGACACAAGGGACACACACAGGAAAGGTGGACATGTGAAGACAGAGGCAGTGATTGAAGTGCCCTGGTTATAAGTCAGTGAATGTCAAGGATTGCCAGCAACTACCAGAAGCTAGGGGAAAGCTGGGCAATTTTTGCCTCAGAACTCCATGAAGCAATCCTGCCAACATCCTGAATTAGGACTTCTGGCTTCCTAAGTTGTGAAAGATAAAGTTTCTGTCGTTTTAAGTCACCAAGTTTGTGGTAATTTATTTCAGGAGCCACAGGAAACTAATATAGAGGAAAGTGGGGAATGATTGCTAATGAGTATGGGGTTTCTTTCTGTGGTGATGAGAATGTTCCAAAATTGGGATGATGATTGCACAACTCTGAATATATTAAGTACCACTGAATGATACACTTTAAATGGGTGAATTGTATAATATGTGAATTATATTTCAATAAAGTAGTTTCATGCATAAAAACCTCAAATAAAAAATATATTATGCTTTTTTAAAAGACATTTATTTTTTAGAGAGTGAGAGCAACAGGGAACGTGCATGCATGCGTGCACAGAGGGAGGGGCAGAGAGACCGGGAAAGAGTCTTAAGCAGTGGAGGAGCCCCATTTGGAAGCATCACTCCCAATCCTGAGATCATAACCTGAGCCAAAACCAAGAGCTGGATGCCTAACCGACTGCACAATGCAGGCACCCCTATCATTATGTTTTTTATGATCTCTTTTTCATTTAAACATTTTTAGAATTTAAGATTATGACCCCTATATAAAAAAAAGAAAGAAAATTAAAATAGAAACACAGCTTCACAAATTTTAAAAGCAACCATTGCCTAACACACTTAAAATGTATGATGAATAAAACTTAGCAGTCTATTTTAAGTTAAAAAATATTTAATATTGTTGGATAAAAACACTGATGGTGACAGCTTTACATGGCTCATTCCATACATTCTGTAAGGTAAAAGGGCAAAACATTACTAGGAAAGAAATGAGTAGTTGGGTTTGTAAAAGATTTATTGACCACATAAAAGCAATTAATACGAGATGACAAACATTTAACTCAAATCATTACAAAACTTTTATGGGATAACGGTCAAATCTCTCTGATGTGCCCTGCTAAGGAAAAGAAATCATGTATATTTTTAATCCATAAGAAGTTCAAAGTCAACATTGATATTGTATAACTATCAGTGCTATTCTAGTAACCTAGAAATTTGCTATAAATAGCTTTGTCTTTTGCTAATCATTCTTACTATGATTTTATTTAACAGTGAGGACTGAAGAGGCATAATCATTTTTTAACCACTGGATAAAACAGTACTATAAATTAATGAGGGTGCTAGGCTTGGCATTTTGTGTTTAAAAGATGGAATATATTTAATTGGATTGAATATATTTCATGAAGACTTGGGTACAGTTTAAGCCCAAAATGTGTTCATGAAGCTCAGTGAGAGAATATGTATACTTGATTCACTGGCTTGCTTTTAAAATGGAATAAATTTGGCACTAAATGGAACAAATGAAGACAAGCAAAATTAGGTGAGACGAAGATGCTTCATCAGAGTTGCCTGTCTTGACTTACAATTCATACTATTTCTTAGTTCTTGACTGAACAGAAACAAATAGACCTAACTACATAGCACTTCTATGATGTATGAAAATAGAATCTAGAGCTAAGATGAGATCGCTTCACTGATGAGCCAATCCCCCACTCTGCCATAATCATAGTTACAAATGTGAAATTCATTCAAGAATGCATATTTTCACCAAATGCTTATGATTTTTCAAGTTTTCTTGCTAGATATGTCTTGGTAGTGGCCAGCTAAAATATGGTCTTTGAATTAAGCAAGGAAATTCATATAAAAGAAACATCTATCTTATAGCGATCTTACTTTACTTGAAATTTCCTTAAAAAAAACAGAAAACACCAAACTAAAACTTCGTAACCAAACTCTTGGAACAAAGCACTGTTGGCCATATTTTTGAGTCTCCAATAAATCTTGAAGTCCATTCACCTTTCATGTTTCAAGTGTTTCTTCATTTGCTCCACAAGTATCAACAACACAAATTAAACAACTTGTTACTGGGAAAGCTCGGACTTTGGAGTTGGCAACCCATTTGTCTGTCTCAGTATTATAT